TTATCACCTTAAACGAAATTGGATAAATACATCTCATATTAGTGGTAGTCTCGAAACAATACTTAAATGCGAAAAATACATAATTTATTTTCCACCGATAAGCAGGTTTTAGAGACTACAGGTAGGTAATCTATATGCGGCCTAAAGTCTATCGTTAAATCGCTTAATAAAGCCTGTAATGGAAGGAAAACCAAAGCATGGGTCCATAATGACAACCCCTAGGTCAAACAGGCCTACAAATATGGCATTTAAGTCGCCAAGACGCTATAATGGCCGGCCTAAACTCCGATCCCTCTTTGGCTCGTGTAATATCTGGCTTTTAGGTCGTAATAAGGATCTATGGCGATCATCGATGAGCCCGTATGCCAAACAACGTCTGGGCCAAGGAAGAAGCAATATAGCTGGCTCTACATTCAGTAAGGGAGGATATTCGACCGTCAATTGGTCGGTTTTTAATTTCGGTGGTTAGTTTAATTCAGAGCTGTATTCACCCAATTTCGTTTAAGGTGATAAAGGACTGGTAGAAGAATTTTTCCACAATGATATGAGTATAGATGACGTTTCCATTGAATTTCACATAGCCTTGCCTTTCCAAAAGTTGTTATCATCCAGGGTGGACTGCAGTTTCGACCTCGCATCGGTCTTATAAACACCCCCAGTGGGAATCGAACCGAGCTAGTTCTAAGCAGGAAATCTTCACCTTCTTCGGAGACTTTGCAGTTAATACGGACGATTCCTCAACGGGCAGATAGTCCGTTATTTTTTGTATATAAACAGAGTTTCGAGACTACCAGTAAAGATGTGAGATGCATTCATCCTAGTTTGTTTAAATTGAAAGATAATCAGTTAACTTGACGACTTGCATACATTCAGTTAAACCAGCGGCAGGCCGGAAAGTGACATTAGCAGAATTTTTTCTTATTTGTTCAGAAGGCGTCTTGACAACGTATTAGAAGATTATACAACTCAGCCTTCACTTACTTTTCTTCATAATACCAAGAAGTCAGGCTAAGGGGTATTCATCTTATCTAATTCTGATTAAATTGTATTCCTCACAGAATTGACCTATGCCATTGGTTCTTTCCTAACGTCAACTCCAAGAGTTTGGATAATCGGGAGTCTGGATGAATGCATTCTACTCACGTGATCAGCCTAGTTCAGTCTCCATTCACTCATTCCTCTCAGATTTAACCATTGCTTGGGACACCCAGAGCAAAGACTCTTGGGGCAATATGACTGAGTTAAAGTTCTTGATAGCCATTCAGGGGAAAGTAGCAACTTCCTGCTTTCTGGCCCCCATTGTTGGCACGTACGCCGAGAACTTTGTTATACTCTTTCTCACCTCCATCCAAGAGGAACTAAAGTTGATATAGACAAGTAAAGAGGCCATTGCCATTTTTACAATCCATCGCTCAGTGCTCCAACATATACAGTAACAAGAAGATGTTTCGCAACTTGGTCTTGTTGTCAGGGGGACTTAGTAGAACGCACATTGTCCGAAGTCCTCTGCAATAGTAGTTAACATAAGTCTCAGCATCAGACCAAGTCAATGATCTGACTTAACTAATCAGCTCTCGCCAGCCGTTTCGAACAAACCATTAAAGGCTGTAAGTCAATCAATCAGAAACCAAGGTTCACTTCATTTTAAGCTAATGCAAGAAAACCACCTCATCTCGAGATTATTTCTCTTAACCATCTATGCCATGCTTGACGAATTGCTCCTGAATTGCCCATGTTTCCTCAGCTACACCCTGGAGCAGTGTCATCCTCGCTTCCAGGCGTCAATCGCAAGCCGCCACGTCTGCGCATGCATCCGCGACGGTAAAATTCAGTTTTTGAGCTTACTTCCATTTCAAGGGAAAGTATTTGTTGAAGAGATTCGAAGGTAATCGGACCATCGAGTAAAAGATACTGAGATACACCCAGAGTCTGTCCCGGGCAATATCACCCAATCGATGTGTTGTTAAGTCCGTATCTACAGGACTAGCCCTGCTTCGCATAAGCAAAATAATTTTGCTGTAGGACCGAGTTTAAAGCAACGCCATTTTAGCACCGGCCTTTCATAATTGGCGTCTTCACAACGTTGGCTACACCAATCATCTCGCCTATCTCGGCTGTCCTGTCCCAGCCCCCTATCTCTCAGCTCGTTCTCTCTAGCTCTGTCACTCTTGCTCCTACTCTATTATTAATACACGTACAAAATTCACCTGCATTACAACCACCATACTACTCCAACACCACATTTCTTCCCGTCGGTCTGAAGACAGATCGCATGGGGTTAATCGTCCGAAAAGAGTCTGAACATTTCTTGGCCATTTGATGAAAATCATCCAATCTTATTAACGAATTGCACGGAGCCTGAGACCCGTTGACGAAATGAAAGATTGGAAAACTTAATTGAGTGGCTATATAGATTCAAAAGGTATACAATGCTATGCGGTTAGTCACCCAGACGCAAGGTAGGGCCAATAACGCCTCGAGTGGCACAGATGAGGTGGCAGGGGTCGAGTGAAATATGTGAAACAGGGT